GAGGCATTATAGGCAAGATAATAAATTTGGTTTTAGCCTTAAAGGATAAAATCGTCATCCTTCTATGCCTGATTATTTAAAGGGCTAGAACTTTCCTTCTTTTTTTAGTCTAAAACTTCAAAGCAGCTTTGGGCATAAAAAATGTGAGCCCCTTCCTCTCCCTTAGAGCAATTTGCTCCCGAGCACACCCGGAAGCCAGGCTTGCTGATGCTCCCGACCTGGGGCTGGACCAGCTCTTCAGTGGCTTCCTGTGGCGCACTTGGTGAAATCAATCTGGAAGTTCAGCTCTGCTAGTTTTGACCTGCCAGTTCTCAAATAGTGTTCCTTTTACACAATCTCCACTGGCACACTGGGTATTTTATTGTTCACTCTTCTAATGTGTAAAAAGTGTATGCATAGAAGACACCTGGATGTCTCATCTGTTCAAGGAAAAGAAAAATCTGTTTTTAAAAGTAAAAATCTTATTGATATTGATATTTATTATTTATTCTGTTAAAGGAAAAGAGAAACATGTCTTCTAATACACACTTTGAAGAAAAAAAATCTCTTTTGGATAATGATGCATACGTTAGAATTAGGACATCTTGGGTTTAAGGCTGTTTCCAGCTCTGCCACTTGATTGATGCTGGGCATTTGCTCAGCCTTTTCAAGCCTCACATATAACGATAATAATCTCTTATAAAGAATGACCACAGATTATCATGACCTAATACTATAGATTAAGTTCTGTTATTTTATTTTTATTGTTACGATTGTTTCCCTTTTTGTCTGTATTCTTGGAGTGCCTTGTGCGTTCCCTGTCTTCATGCTTCATTATTCAGTGTTGTGATTGGTTACCTGTCTCTCTCTTCCCCTTACTGTAAGCCAAGTGAAGAAGCAGATAGCATCTTCATCCACGTATCCTTGATACCTGGTGTACTGGACACATACTAAGTGCTCAGTTAATATTAACTGAGTGCCAATGTAGTTTCAAGCTCTAAAACAGTATTTAATAGCTTGATGTTTTTATTCTTTCTGCCTTCAATCTTTTAATTTGACTTAATATCTTTCCATACTGATTTTAATACCTATTCTTACCAGGAACATATTAAGAGGTGTAGGTAATGAGACAGTATAAAGGCAACAAAAGTCAAGAAAACAATGAGTTTTTAACAAAGTGATACTTTTGCTTTCTTGGACAGATGTAATAAACCTTTACATGTCAGAAGTGCTATAGACACAGGCATCCCTTCTTGTAATATAAAGTTAAATAATCCTCTGCAGGGGTCTGGTGCAGCTGGAGGCTGCTGGGCATCTCTGGGTCTTCACACAGTCTCAGTTGGTACCTTATGTGAGACTCCCACCTGGACTAATCTTGGCTTCCTCACAGCGTGGTGGCTTCCATGCAGCAGTCGACTGTGTACAGTCAGGGCTCCCGTGTGGATGCTGCCATTCTCAGAGCAGAAGCCACATCATTAATGGCCTAGCCTCCGAAACCCCTCAGCTTCTCTTTGGCCACATTCTGTTGGTTACAAGCTCCTTGCAGCTCCATGCACACACGAGGGGACACACACCACTCTGACGGGGGAGTGGCAAAGCTCCAGAAGAGCCTGTGGGGAAGGAGATATTGCTGTGGACGTCTTTGGGCACTTGGCCACATGCCTGGATATGAGTCAAACCATCTGGGGCTCCTGAGTTCAACGGGGAAGAACTTCTGTAATTTCAGAACAGCAAAGGCAAGTTTTTGTATTTAGAAGGGGATGTGGGGGGATATTTATTCTTTGGTTTAAAAAAAAAATTAGAACAAGTTCTGTCCATATGGCCTAATTTGCACTTGTGTTGTGACAGAGATGGTGTACTTGCAGGAGGGAGCTGTGTGGGTGCTGAGCATTCAAAGCTTGTGCTGATGCTTGCTCAGGCGTAATGAATGAGGAAGACTGGTTCTGACCGGTCAGTGGAGTGACAGGAGAATTGTTATCACTGGATCATTGTCCACTTCCGTGCAGTGACAAGTAGTTTATGGGAGTCAGTTCTTTATCAAGTATTTCATATTCACTCCTCATTTTAAGGACATCTAAAGTCACGATTACTAAGCATTGAGACTTCACCCAAGTAGAACAAATTAAAGTGGCGGTGGTAATGGATGTGGCTTGGCTTTAGACATGTGGCTCTTTGGAGAAGTATTAGAATATAAACAGAGTAATAATGAAGAAAATAAAATCTAGTAACATCTGGAAATGAGAACTCACTAAACAAATATAAGATTGATGGTCACAGTAGATATCATTTCCTCCCAGCTTTACTTGTAATTGTTCTCGTTCCTGGGTCTTGCTCTGCTTACTCTAGCCTGGGAATGAATGGCTCTTCCAGCCGTCTAAGGAGAAACGCAGAAGTCAGCATGAGAATCCTTCCTGCTCAGCCTCCCATTACTTCCATACCTTCTCCCTGCAGCGGCCTCCCGACTGGTGGCTCTGTTCTCATCTGTCCTCTTATCAGCCAGAGGGATCTTAGCATGTCTCTGACCCTCTAAAAGGTCCTTAGTGGTTCCTCATTTATTAACTGATACAATCCAAACTCCTTGCCAGGCACTTAAGGATTTATATGCTCTGACTTCTGCCTCCCTCCTAGCCTCATCTCCTGTCCCTTCTCCTCTCGTGGTTTTTAGTCCATCAAAATGAACCACAGACCCTGTATTTTAGCACTTTCATGCTTTTGTTCAAACGCAAATTCCTTTTCCAGGCCTTTTGCTTGGCAATCTCTCTTCCAGGAAGCATTTGTTAATTACCATGCCTGTCTTCTGTGCCCTCATGCCATATTGTCCATTATGCCAGCATAGCCCATGGAGTCTGCTTTCTCCACCAGCCTGTGAATTCTCTGGAGGCAGTGACTGTCGCCTCTGTTTCTCCAGAATTAGCATAGTGTTGGCACCAAGCAGAAATTTAATAAAACTTGGAATGGAATTAAATTAAATAAAAAGTGAACAACGATTCAGCAATATAACATTCCCATTTTAAAGAGAATCATGGCACTTGTACGGCAGTATTAACAGGTAGGATCCCAAGGGATCACCACTGGAACCCTTGCCAGAGCTTTGTCAGTCTCTGAGAGCTAAGACCCAGAGGGCTTTGGGGAGTGAGGACAGAATCTTGGGGCAGGTTCAGAGGAATCCACAAGGCCCTAAAGGTGAAACCTAATGTCTAAGGAAAGGAAATCTTTAAGGCTAGAGGAGAAAAAGTCAAGGTGTTGCTTAATAATGACATGCAAATTTAAAAATTCATATGCACTGAAGATGGTCATGTCTTAGGACTCAGGATCAGGGAGCATGGCCTTAATCAGTAGCAGAAGAGATTTAAACAAAGAAAGATTTCCTGACAGTGACACTTACAAACCGGGACAGGTTGCTTATGGAGCAAGAAGTCTCTAGCCTGTTTTGGGGCAGGAGGAGAAGATAGGGGCAGGAGACTGCAGGGGAGGAAGTTTCCCACTGAATTAATTGTAGGTTTGCCAAGGGCAGGGGATGGAATCAAAGGACTTCAGGGTTTTATACAAATGCTGCAAATCAGTGATATTCTCAAATGCTGACTTTATGTTGCAGTGAGCATTTACACCATTTCACCCACTTTTGTCTAGAAGAAATACTGAACTTAAAAGCATACAGTGGAAAGAATTAACAGTCCCCCTCTGAAGTGCAGTCAGTTGACAATGATGCTGGACTCTGGCTCTTTCTACTTTGATTTGCCATAAAGTATCAGTCAAAAAAAAGAATCATATTATAACCTGTTGATTGAGCTCAGGTAACACAGCAAGACAGGATCGTTAGCTCTGTTGTCAGGAAATATTGTGTGCCTCCTGTGCTTTTACACTGGCACCTTTCCCCTTTTCTGATATTTAAATGCCATATAGTAGTACCACAAAGAAGTTCAAATGTTACCAGTGGGAACTGCATTAGCAGTTAAAATTCCTGTATATTTCTTTTCTATGTCAATAAAGGAATTGGGTTTCTTAGGAATGGAAAATGCTCTTATGTATCTTTTGGAAAATTTATTATTTCTTTCTCCTATAATCCCTTTCATTTTTTTTTCTATATATAGTATAGAATCATTAAAAGAAACCCATATAAACTCTAACAGTTTTTGTTCTTATACTGTAAAGCTAAGAATAGTTTACCAGAAACCAGTCCACATTCTTTAATCCGTATTCAGGAAAAAGATTTTGTAAATGTTTCTCTTCAAAGTACTAAAAGTAAATGAAGGTTAAAGAAAGAGGCTAAAAAGTAGAAAGAAAGCCTTAATTAATGGGAAATACATTCTGATAAATCAAACTGATTCCAGTCTTAATAGTCAATTAAATAATGGAATTGGTTAATAGGATTAAAGAAAGGGATAAAAATCTATTTCTACAAGTTGTTTCAAAACAAGACATTCACTCGCTGATGCCATAGTGTATCAGTCTGATTATACTGTACATAATAAAGCATTCCCTGTGATAAGATCCTGCTGGGAAATGTGTTTAATCAGATGCCTTTGATATTATTTGAGTAAAAGCTACTGTGGACTTAAAAGAATCAAAGAGAGAAATCTTTAGCTCCTGCAATCAATCTTAATCCACTGTGGATGTTAGTGCCTCTATACACATCCCATCCTAATCTCCTCCGACACATAGCATGAGCTAACTCGTTGGGATTTCGGATTTGTCTCTTCAGAAGTCACACACAGAAATTTGTTTTGCTTAATAACCATGTTCCACACTGACTGTTCATTTCTAAGCTTATCACAAATCAAGGCAAGATAAAGATTTTCTGTTGGCAGGAATTTTAATGGACCCTGGTGACTACAATTAACAGCCACCCAGTAATAATGTAAAATTACTATTTGAGCTAGTTTTGTTTGGATCCCACAGGAACTAAATCAACATATTCATTTCCCAAGACAGTCTTTCTGTATCATTGACCAGTTTTAAACCAGATTTTGTGAAGCTCTGTCATGGAAATTACAGACAACATGAAAAGTTTTATAACTTACTTTTCCCCTTCTTCCACGGAAGGCACTAATTTTGCATTTTCCTGAGCTTGCCACTTTAGTCGTGGAGTTCACTTCCTGCTGCCAGCTCCCACTGTGTGTCAGATCAACTCAGAGTGGTCCTCCCTTTGCTAGTCTTTGAATTATAGTCAGCTTTAAAGGAGGCTGTGGATGTAGGGAGTTGAGTCCAGTAACTGAGGGGAGGAGGATGCACCCGACTAAGGCTTCCCTTCCCTGTGTCCATCCGCTGAAGGGTCAGGCAGCCAGCCACCGAGCTGCTGATGCAACCTCACGCTGCTGGGGAAGGGAGTAAGAACAAGAGCCCTCACTTACGGTAGGTGATCAGCGGCAAATGATGTGTGCGGTGGGAGGGAGCCTGGTGTCAAGGAAGGGGGGCTGGCATTGCCCTTGTCTAGAGGGGAAAGGACAAAGAGAGCTCCCCCTGAGCATTTGAGGCCTGGGGGATTTCTTAACAGAATCAAACGGCACAGGACTATTAGCAGCCCTGGACCATAAGAGCTAAAGTTCTTTGGACATGTCAGCCTCACAGACAAGCTGAAAATATCTAGTGGCAAATACCTATCAGCTACTTAGGTATTTCAGGAACAAAAGATAATGGGAAGGGCAACAACTTGCATGTCTTGTTCACTTACCATTGCTTAGTGTTTCCAGTAAGTAAATGCAGTATCTCAGCTGAGTCGCTCTTTCCTATTATTGTTAATTAAATAATGCTCCCTGAGAAATCTGTCATTACTGGCAGCCTGCAATGGGTTTGGTTGGTTTGCCCGAGGCTGTGAATACTCACAAAGGGCCTTTTAATTGCCGTCAGAGGTAATTTCACTGGGGGTTGTGGTTCACTTTTCCCAACAATTGGATGTTATTATTCCATATCTTAAACTCTTCCTTTCTGTTTCTATGTCTGGAGTTCCGTAAGGCCAGAGGGATCATTCTCCACTGATGCAATCCATTGAATTAGCCATCCTCCATAATGGAAAAAATGCACATTGTTATTGAATCTGTAATTTCCCCCCTTTTTCCATTATGACTGAAGAGAAACAACTAATAAGGATTTAAAAATTAACTTAATTCTCCCCTGTTCATTTCATTACTTCTCCTCTGAAATAAGTGACTCATGCTGGGAGAAATGATTCCTGGTATGTCATAGATGCAGTCCTGACATTACTTCTTGTCAGCTGTTTTCCTAGTAGACAGGGGAGTTGGGTGGGTCGAGCAAGTATCATTAGATGCAGGCGAAAGGGGGAGAGATGCGGGCACTTGGCCCTAGGGAGGAGGCACATGTGCTGTGGCCTAGAATTTAAAGTGACCTTATCTTCAAACATTTTCCTTCTGTTCATGATCAGGGAATAAGGACAAATATGAAGAAAAAAAAATCACCTTTTTTTCAGTGCTCTAAAAGCCTCCATATGCCATTTCAAAAAGAAGTGCTCTTCCAGCCTTTTCTTAAATGACCTCTTTTTCATCAATGTCTAATATATTTTTTCACCTTTTGACTGGTACTTTGGTTTTTTAATAAAGGTATATACTTGTTTCAGAGAAATTACACTTTAGAATGTATCTCAGTGGTATTTCATCCTAACGGTTTCATTTAGTTGAATTAATGGGCAGCTGACCTTAGTGAAGGGGAGAGAGAGAGAGAGAAAGAGAGAGAGAGAGAGAGAGAGGGGAAGGGGGGAGGGAGGGGGAAGGGATGGCAGAGAGAGGGGGAGAGAACAGAAGATAATCCATCCTCCAAGCCTACCTTTCTTCAGTCTCATGTATCTGTGTCATTATAGTAGCCTTTATCTGTAATAAAAGCATAATTTAGCTGGATAGTACTAAAGCATATGTATCCACATTATGTCTGTGCTCTACTGTTCTGTGGTCAAAATAATTTCCTTTTTTCCTCTTCACCAAGTTCACATTTTGTTGTCTGGTGTCACTTGATAATCTTTCATTCTCCTTTTTTTTCCCCTCCAGGTTCTTGTCTCTCTCTTTTTCCCATTAAGATGTGAATGGGCAGGCATCTTGGCCAGTGTGTCTAGCCATGGCTGAATACACTTGGAGAAAAGCAGGGGTCTGCTTTTGTCTGGACCCCAGATAGCTGCATGTCATTCCGCACCAATGGGCAGCACCACCCTCACAGTAGGAATTTTGCAATAACTGCCAGAACAAATTGAGCTCAAGCTTATCAGTTCCTTTCCTTTTTCAGTTGGAAAATGGAGGGAATGGGAGAACAAGGCCATTTTTGACCAATGACAATACAGTGTAGAAATAGTTTGGATACAGGCGGTGCCCATTCGTGTTGCAGACAACAGTCATGGGATATATTGAATACGGTGATGACAAGATATAACGTCATGATCAGCAAGCTAACCTGAGCCTTATTTTCCCCACACACCCTGCACATTCCGGTATCTGTGCTCTGCAGAAACAGCATTTGGCAGGGGATTAGTGGAACGTACACACATGTAGCCAGTAGAGGTGAGCACAGGTACAGCTGGGTGATGGTTGTGTTCTTTTTGCATCTGGTGAAACCCAGCAGAGGCAACCCTCAAATTGTTTTCACCAGGGAGCAATGAGAAAAATGGGCTTTGGTGAGAAGGTAGAATATAGGGGAAAAACTCTAAAAATCAATTACATTTTTTCCCTACACAAAGCTTTTATCAGAATCTCTGTGAACCATTGACATTTCATTTATGGTATCTGCACTGTATCTAGATCCTTCTCTGTATTTGAGATATATATATTTATATATATTTGTGTGTATATTTCTGACTACATGTTTGTATTCATTAATTCCATGTGTATGTAGGTAATTGAAAACTGTATGTCATATGTAAACTTAAACACAAACAGATGCATAGCAGAGATGATTTTCTCAGAATCAGATATTCACACTCCAAAGGTTGATTCTAAAGCTACAGCTTACCACAGGCTCATTTCCAGAAATCCTTCCACCTTAATGAGAGATTGTGTTGGGCTTGAGGGGTACTTGTACAACCAAGGCTGTGTTCTGTGTCGTCAGAACAGGAGGGTTGGGAGGCAGGGGCCTCAACAAACTGGGCAGCCAGCCTGGTGTATGAGAGCTGCTAAGGCAGCCAGGCCACCTGTCCGTGTGACAGCCCTGCCCATATTTTAAAAATAACATTATTTAAATAAACATTTGGAAATGTGTGTGTGTGCACGCACATGTGTGTGTGAGAGAGAGTGGTGGTGGTGGTGGTGGGGGGGGGAGGATGGGGAGAGAGGAAGAGAGAGGGAAAGAGAGAAAGGAAAAGAAAAAGAGTTCTCATTCAACAGGGGATCAGCTTTGCTCAGCTGCTTCCAAAGCAACTGGAGTAGACAAGACAAGGCGCTCGGGCCCCTGAATGGCTCTCCATCTGCCCTCTGCTTTGCTTGGAAATAACCAGTGAGTCCAACGGTTTTTTGCTTTGTTTGGCTTTTTTTTCCTGATCTAAGCAGAGGCTGACTTGAAACAAACATGGCATTTCCTTTTGAAAATTGGATTCTGAAATTGGCTTCATCTTTCCAGAAGCACAAGGCTAGTGCATTTCCTTCCCAGTTTTGTGAATGTCATGAACAGTTTGCATATAAAGCTCCAAATTTTGAGGCAATTACCACATTGGGTTTTTGGGTTTTGGTGGTCGTGAAGGAATATGTTGTAGTGGGATGAATGGAAATGGTTTCTTCTCTGCAGAAAGAGGTGAAGAAAACAGGGAAACAAATTAATAATAAAGAACACATTTGCCAGTCTTTTATTAGTGTTAAAGGAGACACAGCAAAATGTGAAGTCATGCAAATGTGGCTTCTAGAAGAACTTCATTAGCATTACTCACAAGCGATAGTTTACAATAAATGGCCACAGCGTCCCCAGAGGTCATGGCCCATGGCCAGCTCACTACAATTGAAGTGACGCTTACTGTAAGGCAAGTCCCCTGGACACGATGTATGAGGTATGGATGACAGTACATTATCTTAGCCAGTTACATTGTAGCAATTTGAAATTGGAAGACTTTTAATGGAGCAAGCAGGGGGAAAAAAGATACCAGAGAAATGCAGTCCATTAAAGGTCTCCTAGCAGAGAATCCAAATATGCTTATGCTTGAAAGAAGTAAGGAAAAGAATATTCTTAGAAGACAGTTACCAATATTCTTTAATACTCTGCCCTCCCTCACTCCAAACATACCCGCACCCACTTGCATGTACATGTGCATGTCTGCACACACACACCCCCTATGCACAGAAATAAAAAGATTTGCCTCTCTCATAGCATCCTTAGCATATCTTGATGCCTTGAATCTTTAGGGCATATAAGGAAAAAGAGCTGCTTTAGGGTGAAATAAGGGTTTGAGAATCCCAGCTGCCAAGATTGTCACTTCCTTTCTCCATGCATGCAGTGAAAAGATGAGCTATGTAATTTTAACTCCAGTTTACTTTGAACTTGTGCTGGAATCATGGCTGCTCTCACAGACACAGTTGAGGCATACTGACTTAATAATGAATGCAGCCACCAAGAAGGGCATGTGCTGTCTACAGAGTCAGATTCTCCAGTGGAGACAATTTGTCATGCCGGCAGGTGGATTGCCTGGATTCTAATCTCAGCTCCGCCGTTTCCATGCTGTGTGAACTTGAGCAAGCACTTAACCTCTTTGTTCTTTCCACTTCTGCAAAATGGAGCTGATGGTAGCTGGTTCATACATCTGCTATCTAAGTTGGCATGTAGGAAGCACTGGGAACTGGGACTTGGCACACCGTAAGTGCTAAATAAATACTAGCTGTTAGTAGTGGTGAGAGAAACACTGGGGGCCATGGGATCTGGCAGAATCACATTTAGATTCTACTTCTGTTGCGTTTTTTTGCAAGTTATTTCATCTTTTCCAAGGCTCAGGTTGTCTTCCCAACTCACAGAGTTGCAGGGTTGCTCTAAGGATTTAGTCATCTCATGTATGCAATGTGCAAAACAGTGTGTGAACATAGTAGGTAGTCAATAAAAGCTTAATTCTTTCCAAAAGTAGAAGACACCACTCGTGGTGTGAACTGTAACTTTGGCCTTCCTTTATAATTTTTGGATCTTTTCCTGAGTTTTTTTGGGGGGAATGAATCTTTCCAATTTGGGATTTCACATCAGCTATTGGTGAGCAGTGGTGATTTCCCTAAAGCTTTTGAAGTTGTACAGTCTGTGTTCAGTGGATTAACAGGAGATGGACATCTGCCAGTGATTGGATGTGAAATTCTACCTGGCTTGTCAAAAGGACATGCTATTCCTGGCATACTTTTAGGAA